TCATTTGGGGTTTTCTTGGCAAAGATAATGGAGTGGTTTGCTGTTCCTTCTCCAGATAATTTTACAATGAGAAAAACAAGGCAAACAGGCTTAAGTGACTTGCCCAGGGACACACAACTATTAAGTATCTGAGGCTGTATTTGAATGCAGGAAGATGAGTCTTCTGGATTCATGCCTGGCACTCTATCCACTGAGTCACCTAGCTGCCCTTCTTTCTCCCTCTAGAAATAAAGGACAATTGGCTTTATGGTTCATAATTTCAGAACCTGAGATTGAGTCCTGGATTTGCTCTTACTGGCTGTGTGACCTTAAGCAATCCACTTAATCTCTCTTGCACTCAGTTTCCTTATCTGTAAAATGAGGGCATAGGACATGTAACCTCTAACCCTACTTATGATCTCCCTCCCTATCCTTTTCCTTCCTCTAACTAGGGAGCTAGAATAAGATGTGTCCTGGAATGTTCATCTGGAAAGCCCTCATTGCCAGTTCAAATATGTGGGCGAGGCTGACCAATTCACTCCAAATCCTTCAACTCTTCACTTAAGACCTCACTTAAAACTGTTAAAATAATGTGTCTCTTTATCTTGCATAAATTGTTTGAAGAAGAAAGCAGCCAACTCTTTGCTATGGTGCCTTTCCCTTTTTAACCAACATGTTTCAGGGGCAGTGGGTTACACAGCACACACTATTTTGTCATTGATCATGAAGTCTGACAAAATTTGTGTTATTTTGATTTGGTGAAAATCCAAGTCGGAAGCAGTTTAGAATTATGGGTGATGCGATTTTTGAAGAAGCCACTCTTCATGTCAAGTGACTTAAGAGGGGACACAAGGTATGCACAGGGGGTGGTGATCATTTGTGGAAGAAAAGCATTAACATCTAGGGGATTAGGAAAGGCTGCCGGGATTAGGTAGCCTAAGAGCTGAACCATGAAGGAAGCTTAGATATTCTAAGAGGAGGAGTTGAGGAGGGAGTGTATATTCCAGGAGGGGGAACCATCCTATGCAAAGGCACATTGGCAGGAGATGCAGAGCCAAGTTCATGTTGTGGTAACAGTAAGTAGAAAGGGTTGGTGGTAACATAGAGTGTAGGAAGGTCAGTAGTATGTAATAAGCCACAGGTGGAGCCAGACTGTGGAAGGCTTTAAATACTGAGCTGAGGAATTTGTGTTTTGTCCTAAAGTCAATAGAGAGCCAATGAAGGTTCTTGACTAGAGGAGTGCCATAGATTTGCCCCTTAGGAAATTTATTTTGGTGACTTTGTGTAGGATGGATCGAAGAGTAGAGAAACTAGAAGTCAAGAATCCCTTTTATCCCAACTTTATGTGAATCCCCAGAATATCCAGGGCTGCCAGTGGCAATATCTGCTACCATTGACCCACCATCTGCGAAGCTATCAAGCCATGGGATATATCATAATTTGTGTATTTACTTAGGATTCCTGCCTCAGGTTCTTGAGGATTTCCCAGAGCTACTGAAACCTTTATAGACTAGTGACTTAAAACATACAATCGCTCAGTGTAATGTGCCTTTCTTGAGTTTGGGGACTGTTGTGATTGAGAATTGCCAGCATTTTCTTGTTGTTCAGTCATTTCAGTCACGTCCAACTCTGTGTGACACCATTTGGGTTTTCTCAGCAAAGATACTAGAGTCATTTGCCATTTCCTTCTCTAGCTCCTCCTCATCCTCCAGATGAGGAAACTGAGGCAAACAGCGTTAAATGACTTGCCCAGGATCACACAGCTAGTAAGTGTTTGTGACCCAGATCTGATCTCAGGAAGATGAGTCTTCTCTGATCCCAGGGCCTACACTCTATCCACCCTACCACCTAGCTGCCCCAGTCAACATTTAGAACAATGTTGTGTGACTATAATAGCCAAGCTTGGCCCCAGGGAGAAGTTGACAAAAATATATCCCCTTCCTTTCTTTGCAGACATAGGGGACAGCACATACTCTGCTAGACACAGCCAGTGAGGTGGTTGCTTTGGCTCAGTCACTTATTTGCTCTTTCTTTTTCCATCTTGCTACTAGAGCTTGGATGGACAGGGTAAAAAGGGATGTATTCATCAAACATTTATCAAGTGTCTACCCTCTGGGCTCCAGGGGAGAAAGTGAGGCTGGTGACTTTACACAGCCCTCTGCCACTTATTTCCAATTCACTCATGTCATGGCATCACATCCTTGATGTCATGGTCCTCTTCGAGAGTGAAGAATACTCTGCCTGTTGTAGAAGGTGGGGCTTTAGCTGAGCTTTGAAGGAAGTATGGGAAGACCAGGGAAATAGTTCTAGGAATGGAGGAGAGTCAGAGAAAATGTCCAGAGTTAAGATATGGATTATAGCATATTCACACATGGGAACTTTTAGTGATAATACAAAAGCAATATAATCAACTTTCCTCTTACATTACTGTACTATTATAGCCTAATGCTAGCCATCGGCTAATTTTGTTTGAATCATTGAGAATCCTGATGTAAGGTAGACCCAAAGCCCAGTGGTTTTGCTGGATACATATACATTATAAAGAATCTAGGAAGTGGAAGAAAAAGATCCTCCCCCCAGATTTAGTTGTTGTGGTTTTTTTTAATCATGACATTATTTTCATTTTCAAAATTTTTTTAACATTTTATTTTATTCTGAACTTAAGAAATAAAAAAGCATTTCCATAACATATTAGAACAGAGAAAAAGGTGGTTGCACATGAAATTGCAAAAATTGCACATGAAACTATTATGTTCAACTTGTTATTCTTTTTAAATATATAGTAAGTATCATGTAACTTTTTTTTCCTTTTTTTCTTTCCTTCCCCCAGCCCTAGAGATGGCTAACATTAGACACAAATATGTATGTATGTATGTAAGTATATATACATATATAAATATACACATATGTAAAATTTTTCTAGATACACTTCTATTTATCAGTTCTTTGTCTGGATACAGATAGCGTCTTCCTTCATATGTCCTTTGTAGTTAATTTTGGTACTTATAAACAAAATGACTTAGTCACTCAAAGGTGTTCTTCAAACAATATTTCTGTAACTGTATACAAAGTTCTCTTGGTTCTGCTCATTTCTTTCTTCATTATTTCATGCAAGTCTTTCCATGTTTTTCCAAAATCATCAAGCTCATTATTTTTATAGCACAGTACTATTCCATCACGACCATATGCTACTTGTTCAGTCATTCCCCAACTGATGGGCTGTCCCATAATTTCCAGTTCTTTGCCACCACAAAGAGAGCTGCTATTAATATTTTAGAACATATAGGTTCTTTTCCTTTTCCCCTAATCATCTTGGAAAACAGATTTGGTGGTGATGTTGCTGGGTCACAGAGTATAGGCAGATTAATAACTCTTTGGACATATTTCCAGATTGCCTTCCAAAATGGCTAGATCAGTTCACAGTTTCACCAATAGTGAATTAGTGTCCCAATTTTTTCATATTCCCTCCAACATTTGTTGCTTTCCCCTTCAATTATTTTAGCCAATCTGATAGGTATAAACTGACAATTCAAGGTTGTTTAAATTTGCATTTCTCTAATCGGTAGTGATTTAGAGCATTTTTACATGGCTATAAATTGTTTTGATTTCTTCATTGGAAAATTGCCTGTTCATATCCTTTGATCATTTATCAATTGGGGAATGACTCATATTCTTATAGATTTACAAACTTATACACACACATATATCTTTATCTAAGAAACTGTCTAAATTTATTCTCCAATTTTCTACTTTCCTTATGATCTTGGCTATATTCGTTTTATTTGTACAAACACTTTTCAATTAAAAAGTTGAATAATTGAAATTATTAATTTTATACTTCAAACTATTCTCTATCTCGTCTATTCACAAATTGTTCACCTGTGCACAAATCTGATAGGTAATGTTCCATGTTCTTCAAATTTTCTTGTAATCTTTCTTTTTATATCCAGGTCATGTATGTATTTTGGTCTTATCTTGGTAAATGGTATCCCAGTTTCTTCCAGACTGCTTTCCAGTTTTCCCAACAATTTTACCAAATAATGAATTCTTATCCCCAAGATTTAAGTCTTATCTTACACTTGTCAAATACAAGGTTACTATATTTATTTGCTGCTGTAAAGCATATGGCTAATGTGTTCCACTGATCTACCTTTCTATTTCTTAGCTAGTACCAGATAGTTTTGATAATTACTGCCTTATAACATAGTTTAAGATCTGTATTGCTAAGGCTCCTTCATTTACAGTTTTTTCATTAGTTCTTTTAATATTTTTTTTTATTTTTGTCCTTCCAAATGAATTGTTATTTTTTTTCCTAATTCAGTAAAATAATTTTGGTAACTTAATTGGGATGGCATTGAATATATAAATTAGTTTATATAAAATTGTCATTTTTATTATATTGGCCCTGCCTACCCATGAACAATTCATATTTCTCCAATTATTTAAATCTGATTTTATTTGTATAAAAAGTTTTTTTTATAATTTCATTCATATAGTTCTAGGTTCTAGCTTTAATTTTATCTTTTCTCCTCTGACTCTGCCAATTCATCTATATAAAAGACAAAAATGGGATTTGGAGCTAGGAATCTCGGGGACCCAAGAGAGTTTCTCTGGGAACGCAGTTGTTAGAGTGAAGATTGTTTAGGATTTGGTATAATCTAGACTTAATTTTCTTTACACTGTGAAAAATTCACAGACTAAACAATCTTTGTGAAATTTGGGGATGCATTCAATCAGGGCCCACCTTCAGGTTATTCCATCGTTCTTGACTTTTATCTCAATAATTTCATCAGATACACATACTTTTTCAAAGCTAGGTGAACCCACCCACTGGCCTGAGCTTGGTCATGTAGCTAGAAATTCCAGGTGGAAAGACCCAAGTGGCCTATGAAGTCCATGAGTGCTAGCTACTAGTGGTGGGGAGATTGTTTGCTCAAAATCTCAAGCTGCCACCCCCTTGGCTGGCAGCCAGTGGGGTTAAGGAGTACAGTTTATGGACTCCCTGTTCCCTTTACAAATAGGACTATTCATCCAATTGCAATGACCAAGCTGTGGTTGAGATCTGTATCACTCGCATCACGACAGCCATCAGGGAGACTGAGTCCATCGAGAAGCATGGCAAGGCCCTCGTGGCTCTCTGGGAATCCTGCTTGGAGCACAATCTCAGACCTTCAGGAAAAGATGAGGATACCCCACACGCAAAAATTGCTTCTGATATCACGAGTTGTATTTTGCAGGTGAGTTGCCTTCTCACTGTGCAGTTCAATTGATCGATCAATATCAACCAATAAACATGCATTAAGCACCTACTATGTGCCAGGCACTGTGCTAAGCTCTGGGGATGCAGTCCCTGCCCTCAGGGAGCTTATAGTAGTTCACCCTTCATGACTTCTGCTTGGTTCTTCACACACAGCTCTTCATGTTCCATCTGTTTGTCTTCACTCTGGCTCTCTGTCACGCCCACAACACACTCGCCCTTCACATCTGCCTCAGAATCCTTCGTTTTCTTCAAGACTCAGCTTGAGCACCACTTTCCACAAAAAAACCTTTCCTGATCCTCCCAACTTCCTGTGCCTTTCCTCCCTCACTGACTATCCTGTATCTAACTCTTGTGTATATAGGGTGTCCTAAAAGGCTTAGGGCAATTTGGGTTTTGTTTGTTTGTTCTGTTTTGTTTTGTGTTTAGCTTTCATAGCTTAAAATCACTTTGGCCCCATGAAAGGCACAGCTAAGTTGTAATAGCTTAAAACTGTCCTAAGACTTTTGGGATATGCTGTACACGTTATATTTATTATGTATGTACTTTGATGTTTGTATTTCGTCTTCTCTGATAGAAAAGAAGCTCCCTGACTATAGGGACTGTTTGATTTTTTTTTTCAGCTTTTAATCCTCAGTGCTTAGTACATAGTAAGGGGTTTAAAAATGCTTGTTGATTAAGGAAGATGTGCATTGGACTTTTCAGCTCACTTTTCAGAAGACTCAATTTTCACTGGCTTGGATGTTGTAAGAAGTCCCCTTCATGCTTCTGATAGTTAAGCTAGCCCTGACAGAAAACAGCTGTTAATACTTTGCCTTGATACTTTCAAAGACTCCAGTTTCATTACTAAGAGTACTCTCTTAGTGAATGCAGATCTCTGCCACTCTCGCCCTACATGGGTGTCAACTACATTTTACTATACATTCATCTCATTACATTTGATTCTTGCCCAAGGATAACTCCTCTCCTGATCATAGGACCATATATTTCCAACTGGAATGGGCCTTTGGGGAGGCCTTGTCCAGCTTGCTCATTTTATGGAAGAGGAAGCTGAGATTCAAAGTGTGTAAGTGACTTGCCCAAAGTCACACAGATGGCAGGCAGGATGTGAAGCTAGATCCTCTGACATAAAATCCAGTAGACTTACATGATCTGAACATCTGTCTCAGACACAAATCCAAATCAACATACATGATTGCCTAAGGAACAGAAAGTTGTTGAGTCGGGGAAAAATCCACTGGATTTGTACTGAGTCCTTGGATTTCATTTGTGTTCTGTTATTTACTACTTATATAAAATTTTCAGCTGAAAAAAGGAGATGAGGCTAGATGACCATTGAGATCCCTTCTAGCTATGAATTGCTCCATCCTGTTACGTACAGAGCACTATGCTAGGCACTGTGGGGCAGTACAGAGAAGAGTGACACATGATCCCTGCCCCACAGGAGCTTATAATCTAGTTGGGGTGGTGATGATGTGTGCCTGAAAATCTATCAATGTAAGACAATGTACATTGATATAGTAAGTACCAAATGAGGGGCTAAGCAATATACATGTGTAAAGCTAATATGAATAGAAAGGCCAAGGAGGGTTTCAGGGAGAAGGTAAAATTTGAGCTGGATTTTGAAAGATCAGATAGGATTTGGCTGGAAGGGAAGGATGATGGGAAGCCATTTTGACTGCAAGAGGTATGATTGATTGTGATACTCCCACATGTGGATGATACCTCTCTTCTCTCTTGCTTTCTTGGGCTGCATGAAGATCACACCTGCTCCAATGTCACCCGGTCAGGGTAAATTCCTATTCAACTTTTTTTCATTGTTGACCCACTTTTGCTAAATTCTTAGTGGTAAACCGACTTCTGGCTTCCTGATATGTTTACCTACCCAGTTCTTAAGTTCTTCCTGTGAACATTTCAACAATGACTCATATACCTTCCAACACACCTGTTCCTTCTTCAAGAACTGACAAACAAAACTCAGCATACCTCACTTTAGTGAAAAGAAGGCTGCTGCTTTTGAAAAGATACCAGTGAGTGTATATCCAGTTTTTATTAACTAGCATTCATTTATAGAGGCAGCATGGCACAGTGGTTGGAGAGCTAGCCTCAAAACATGGAAGACGGCTTCAAATCCTACCTTTGACACATACTGGCTGTGTGGCCCTGGGCAAGTCACTTTAATTTCTCAGGTAACTCTCCAAGACCGTAAGTTGCAAAAAAGATGCCATCTGCATTGGTGGAAGCAATGTCCTTACATGGGATTTCCCTGTAACAAGAAAGTCATATATCCAGTCCTTCTTCCCTGTTAATTCCTGTGAGCATCTCTGCTTGATTTTGACTCCATTAACATCATGCCCTGCCCTGATATCCCTGCTTTCCAGCTTCTGTGTAGTGTTTTTCCCCATTAGATTGTAAGGTCCTTGAGGTCAGAGACTTTCTATTTCTTATTTGTAACCTCAACACTTGGCACAGTGCCTGGCACATAATAAACACTTAATAGATGTTTATTGACTAAAAATAAGAAGTACAGAGCCCCCTACTACAAACATTAGGAAAAGGCTTAAAATCAAAATAAATTACTCAGATGATACTTCTAAATCACCAGGGCTCCCCAGACACACTTTGGTGGCCACTGTCCTAACTGAGTCCCGCAAGAAGAGACTGAGGTTACCTAGTTGCCTAAATCCTAAGAGGAGGCATCCTAAGAAGAGATGTAGATGTGCCAACTTGAAAATGTCGGTGGGATAATGGATTGCCTACAAGGTATGATTTGAGAATTGCCTAGAAAATCCTTCAGTTCAATCCATTTCCATTCAACAATCATTTATCCAGTGCCTACCATGTGCCAGGCACTATGCTAAGTCCTGAGGGTACACAGACAAAAATGAAACAGTCTCCAACCTCAAAGAGTTAAAATTCCATTCAGAATTATCTTACCCAATGATCTTTCAGGGTACCTGAAATCTACCATTAGAACTTAATTCATTCTGGCATCTTGCACCTAAGAATCATATTTAGTAGTGTGTGGTGGCAAGATCACAAGTCTTAGATTCAGTAGGTTTAGGTTTGATTCCCAACTCCACCAATTATTAATTGCGTGACTCTACCCAAGTCACTTAATGCTTCTCATTCTTACTTACCTCATCTATAAATTGGGGATAATAATATAATAAACTACACAGAGTTGTCTAACAGCACTTCTACTTTCTCTCAATGTGAGCAAAAACTTTGAGTGGATACATGATTTCATCCATGTGGACAAAACATTGCGGGAGGCTCATCTGAGTAGTTCCATAACTCCTCCACAGAGAATTGACCCAACATGGCAGAAGCTCTCTTTCAGGTCTTTTACCATTCCATGGATACCATTTCTTGTGGGCAGATGTTAGCAATCATCCTAACCTCAGGAATTTGTTTGGTATGAATGACTGACCCAGCACAAGTAAAGGGGGTTGTAGAAAAAGAGGTTTAGAGAAATGTAGATTTGTCACATATGAGGCAAGCATTCATATTGATGGTTCTGGTTTGGCTCTGATTCAATTGAGCTGAGTTCCAAGACCTTCCCTTTTCCTCTATGGTTATAACTCTTAGATGGTGACAAATGGAGAATCCACCAGGTCTGAGAAGGTAGGAATCTGCCTTGGTGAGGGTTTTTCGCAGAGTCGAGGGGGAAACTAGAGACCACATCTCCAATGTAAAGCCTTCCATTAATGCACAAAACAAAGAAATACTCCCTTTTAGTTTCTTACACAGAAGGGGTTACTATCCATCAGCATCCTCTAGCACCCAGAGGCTTGTAATCCTACCTGCTCCATAGCCTAGGCACTTCCCCTTGCAATCCTATCTATTCACGCAGGTCGGCTCCTTCCCTTGAAATGTGTATCAGTCTGGCCATAGGACACATACCAGGGCAGCACTGGGCTGTCCATCTGCCATCTCTTGCTTGCTGCAATAAAGTAAACAGTCTGCATCGTGCTATCAAGATGTGTCCCCCTGCTTTTCTGATCATAACCATCCTTAATGGTATCCTGCTTCTTGAACACAACTCGTTCTTGATTGTGTGAGGCTCCCTGGTCACTCCATTGCCTGTTGGGTCACACACTATTTTGATTCTTCTGAGATTTTGGTCTTTTGTGATTCCCAAGTATTCTGGTGATGGCTGAAATTCCCCAAATGCAATTTGGTCTACTCTCTTCCTCCTATTTAAGGAACTACTGAGTGGGAGCCTCCTCCAGAAAAGAAACTGCAATTATTCTCATATCAAAAGTTAAATACTCCTGGGAAAGAGAGGGTACATTAAGCTATTAGTCATTAACATCTAAGTTTGACCTGGGCCCCTAACATTAGAACATAGGACAGGAAAACATGTATGCAAGAGAGGGGTGATAGGGAGATACGGCCCTGCTGAGGAAAAAAGGACCAAATGATTTACTTCAGTGTGGGGCTACAGGTAGAAGAGGGACAGGTAGAAGAGGACACTGGGTGCCTAGCAGGGAAAAAGGAAGACTCCTCTGAGAAGTTCATAAAGGGATCAAAGACAAATCTTGCTGACTTTGCAGACTGGTCCAGGGCTGGCCCAGAGTTTGTGGTCATTTTGAGCTGGTGAAGATGATACACACAAAGGCCCTTTGTAGGGGTAACATTTATATTTAGTTCTCCCTAAATTCCGATGAAGTTTTGGGTTTTGTTTTTTCTGTTTGTCTCGCCCTAAATACCAAGAAAGTGACTCTCTCCCACTTCTAATTTAGGTTGTTGTGGGAAAGGAGGTTGGGAATACTAGAAGAAGACTCATCCAAATGATTCCTTCCTTTCAATTTTTCAATAAAAGAAACCAACTGGTCAATTTTCAAGAGTGAGACACTCAGCATTTTCGGCTTGTTTCAACAGGGGTGAGGGAAAGGCAATAATTTTCTTCCACAAACCATTCCCAAACACAAAATGCCTAAGCAGGCAAAAGGTCAGATTCTCCTTCCCACATCT